TTAAGAATTGTTTCGATTTTATCAGTGACACCTTTAATGTAAGGAAGAAAAACTTTCATATGATGAGTGTCTGAGTCTTTGGGTTTAGATTGAGTGGGAGATTGATGTCTGTGGTTGCTCATATGGATGTGATTTTCGCGGTAACCGTTTTGAATGACGGCTTGTTTTAAACAAGAGAGCTTAGCGGGTCTACTTGCATCATTGCAAAGGCGTATTGATATGGATACAAGAATATTAATGACTAGATTAATTTGTAAAGGATGATGTGAGTTGGCATGCAAGTAACGATTGGTATGGATGGGTTTTCGATAAACAGAGTGATGAAAACCTTTGGATTGGTTTTTCTTTATGATAACGAAACAGTAAACGGAGAAACAGTAGAGATAAATTATTTTCCATCTGCATCGTGAACTGAATACTAGGATGTAAATATCCTATGAGTTCAGGATGAGTAATCAGATGAGTTTAAAAAGACACCACAGCCGTCCCTGCTATGGGGTTAAATGTATCGTCAAAATGTCGTAGCCAACATGGGTAACCACGTGGGTTTGAGCATTGATGTGGAAGGTGCTCGGGTCTCGAAGTCTTCCATAACAATATTGTCAATTACTGGAGATAGTGGGGAGCCCATTAAGTCACCATTTATTTGTCTGTAGAATAGATTTTGGAAGATATATTAAGTGTTGGATATACAATGTTTAATGAGAGATAAGTGATTTTGCTGGATACTGTATTTAGTTTTCAGAACGTTTAAAGTTTCGTCTAGAGTTCTTCGAATATTAGCCAATCCGAGAAAAAAGCCCCAGAAACCCCAGTCAAATCCAAATCTAGTCATTATTCCCGTCGCTAAAAGCAATGCCACTGTCATCCTAAACACTTCTTACATTAATAAACTGTTAAATCTCATTAATATTGATTAATATTGACATAAAACTATCTCTAAATACTCGTGAGAAGTCGTCCAGAACACCTCGAATATATGGTCTACCTAAAATTCACAAACTCGATATTCCTCTACGTCCCATTGTCAGTGCATATAATTATCCTATATAGCCATTGGCCAAGTACTGGGCCAAACTCTACAACCTGTCGCCGAAAATGCTTCATCCTTCGTCAAAAGTTCTTTTCATTTTATCGAACTTAAACAATACCTTATCTCACCGTCAGACATTCTAGTACGTTTTGATATCGTTTCACTCTTTACAAACATTCCTATAGACGAAACACTAAAAATTCTGAAAACTAAAGCGAGTATCCAGCAAGACCACTTATCTCTCATTAAATATTGTGTATCCAACACTTATTACATCTTCCAAAATTAATTCTACAGACAAATAAATGGTGTCCCAATAGGCTCCCCACTTTTTCAGCAATTGCGAATATCTTTTTGGAAGACTTCGAGACCCGAGCAATATCCACATTAATACTCAAACCCACATGTTGGCTACGATATAACGACGATACATTCGTCATTTGAGGTGGCAACTGATTCATCTCTACTATATGTAATAGTGATGTGAACTTTAGTTACTTTTCAGTACTGGTAACGATTAGTTACTTTTTGTGTTAGGACTCGTTACTTTGTAACGGTTACTTTTATATGGTTACTTTTGTTAAAGTATTAGGTAACTAGGTATATATATTTAAAAAAATAGAAGTAAGCTCATAACTATAAAATTTAAGATAAGGCATGATAACCTGTTTCATGTGTAAGAGACTACAAACAAAAAGAGCAGAAATTTGTAATTATCAAAAAGTATATTGTAAATATAAAAAACAAAATAATTAACAATAACAATAAAAAAACTAAAAAAACTTTTAAAATGTACTTGCCTTATTAAAAGTTTTCATTGCAGTTTAAAAATAAAATAGTTTCAACATTTTTTAATTTCAAGCGGTTCCTTCGTTCTGTAATGACTTGGGTTGCCTTAGAAAAAACACGCTCACATGGAACGGATGTAGCACTGTACTGTACAAGTACTGACAAATATTTCTTTGCTAATACCGCAAGCCATGGATATATATTTTCTCTTTCCTTCCACCAGTGCAGAGGATTTTGTTTTCTTTCTAAATTCGCCTCTTCTGAAAACATTTTTAGTTCAGCAATAGCCACTGCCATTGGGCTTGTTATAGCGTTTGAAGATTTGACCAAGTTGTCAAAATCTTGCCAAATGATGTCGTCAATTTCTGTACTTGACGCCAACGATAACTGATGTGTATAATTGAAAGGTTCTGGGGCCGTATCATCTTGTTGACTTTTTTTAATTAGCCCAACTAATCCTTCTTGAAGTCTCTCTTTAACCTTTTTTAAACAGCCATCGTTATTGAATCCATTAGTTTTAAATCTTGGATTCAGAAAACAGGATTTTTCCATTATTGTCTTATTTTCAGGGTTCCCAAAACGTATAGTTATTGAGGCCAGCAATGAATGTATTAACTATCTTCCTAATTGACTCGTAATTTGAATTCTTATTCGCTCTAAGATGATATTCCCCCTTAATAATAACTTTGGACAGAGTTATTTGTTTTTCCGAACTCATTTCTACAGTAACAACCTCAAATGGTTTTAATATTTTACAGAATTCCTGTAATAGTAACCATTCTTCTTCCGTCGGTAAACGTACTGGATTATGCAAAACAGCAACTGTGGCAGCTAACGGGTTACATAATTTAACTACCCTTTCTAACATATATGTTGAATTCCACCTTGTTTGTAAATCATTAATTAGTTTTAAAGGAGTAGCAGTGGGATTTGATTAGTGCTTTCAGGATGACTGCTTCTTTTTTCAAGTGGATCCTCTAGAACCATTGTTGGATGTTTATTTTTAAGATGTTTTCTTAAATTTGATACATTTCTGCCTTTATAAGAATATATACCGTTGCAAAAATTGCATTTCGCCTTATAATTAGAAGTGATAGCAAAGTGTATCCAGATAGCGCTTCTTTTTTGACTTAATAAATCCATAGTTAGACGATTATTGTGGTATTTTTTTTATAAAATAACTTTCACAACATTAACGGACCCGTATCTAAACAAAATCGCACCGAATGTCCGATTGAACATCAACGAACTCATCTGTCGATTATAGAAGCGGGGGAAGTGCACTGTGCACTATTGGCGTGGTACGAGGCAGTAAAGTTATTTTAGTTACTTTGTATTCTTTGTAACGAAATAACAATATAACAAAACCATGAAGTAACTAGTAACGAGTCTTTTTTCAATATAGTCATCGTTACTTAGATATTCGAAAAGTAACTGTTACTGTGTAACGATTACTTACTTTTTTCGCATTCTGGATATGTAAAGGTTATCATACAGAAAAACCAATCCCAAGGTTTTCATCACTTTGTTTGTCGAATTCCACCCATACCAATCGTTACTTGCATGCAACTCTCATCATCCACCTTCACAAATTAATTCTCAATTCTCCCATCAATCTCAACCTAAAGACTCAGACCCTCAACATACGAAAGTTTTTCTTCCTTATATCAAAGGTGTCACTGATAAAATTGACAAAATTCTTAAATCAAGAGGAATAAAGACAATATTTACCCCCATCAATAACTTTCATCTCTTGTCCGATCAATCACAGACAACATTCCAAATAAACAAGTCGAAATTGTTTATCCTACTGTCAGAAATGTTCGCGCCAACCTCCGTGCCAATTCCTGCGCCAATCATTATGTTAACCCCCACGCCAGCCTTCACCGAAACCACGTCACCATCTAAATGGTCAGTCCTCTGTTCCCAGTACCAGTAAAACATTGATTAGTGATCAGTGTAGTGGTGTCTAGGGGCTCGGGAGATTGAGATCTCGGAAGCCTTGAAGAAGACATCGAAGAGGATATCGAAAGCTCTTGACGCTATGATAATGGACGCGTTTCAACGCGGAAGACTGTAGAGTTTAATATTAATTCTTGTGATAATATTAATCTTATCTCTAGGTTAAATTGTACTAACCGCGGAAATCTTTCGAAACATATATACGTATATACATCTACAACATTGCTCACTATCTTTTTTTACTTGTTGTTAATTAATAATATTTGTTTTGTAGTCATAAATGCACCTTATTGGATTTTGGGCACAGACTATGAAAACTATTCAGTAGGATATTCTTGTGGTAAGATATCTGGAAGTTATGAAGGTAAGTAATAATAATAAAACGGTATAGCATTAGTTGTTTTCCTCTCTTGTATTATTATCAAACTAAGTGAAATGATTTTAAAAAAAAAGATAGTTTTCTTTCTCGTTGGTTGGTAGAGCCAGACTTTGCTTGAAGCTGACGGGAGTAGATTTCTAATCGAACTCCATCCGAAATTGTGGATCTTAATCAGTCGATCATATAAACCGCTCACATATTCGGGAAGTGTCACTTGGTGCGCCTCTATGCCTGGTAGGTTTCCATGTAGAAGGTTAATGGGAAGCTTGAGCTCTCGATCAGTCGATAGCATTGCTGAAATTTAACGAATTGCTTCATGTTGAGAGCTTCGATGGATTAGCAGAAATAGAGGCTCCAGTTTGTTCTAGAGGAAAACAGAAAATGAAAATCAGAAAGGCTTCCTCTCTATACGAAGAAGGTTGCGTTTCGATTTAATTCCATCTTCCTCTCTAATTTTCATGTACAAAAAGAGACAGATAGTTTAGCGCCAGATAGGCTTCTGAATTCTTCAAAAGCATAGGGCCTTAATTAAAGCTATTGGACTTACCACAATATTAAAAAGCTTAATATAAAAACAACCATAATACTGTACAAATGGAAAATATATGATAAAAAATAGTACCTGACAAAAGAGAGGATTTATAGAAGTTTAAATTGAAGAATGTGCAAAATATCATATTGATAGGATTAGCAATCAGGTTAAACATTGCGTAAGTAGAAAAAGCATATGAGGAACTACAAGATGAATGAACAAAGGGAAGAAAATAGAATACCTAGACAAGCTCTAGAATGGTAATCTTCGAGGAAGACCAAAGAAATACTAGAAAGAACGAATTGATCAGAAAATAAGGAAAATACCTGATCAAATTAAACTAACTTTTATAACAAATGTTGTGTTAACGAAAATTAACAAAGAAAATTAATACAAAATACTTTCATTTTATTTCTCCGTTTAAAAACTTTATGACTCTTCAATTTTGTTCTCGACCAACCGCTAACTTTCAATTTTAAAATATCTCTAATGTTCTTTTGTCAAAATCTCTAGCTAAAATTCATTCCTTTGTACTGCTTTCGTGGAATCAAATGTCCCGACAATCCTTCCTATCTCTTTTTGGTTGTCAGAATATACTTGGTGATAGTTCTCCAGATGAACGATAAAATTATTTGTACCTAATAATACTACAAAACTTACCTACTGCAACTTCGCAAAATCAGCAATGCAGAAACTACTACTTTTTATACTCTTATTCACAAATTACTTTTACACTATTAAACTTGCCGGCACTAGTTCACTTGTCAGGATTGGATGTTCTTTCTTCTACGATAAGCAACAGATAAACCATCACCTATCCAAAATCTCCTTTCACTGTCTCTCTTTTCAACCAATTATCGTTTAGTCTTTCAAAAACAGCCACTTCGCGAGTTCTCAAGAAATTTCTTAATTTTCTCATTTTCTTTACGATATGAACATTTAATCCAACAATGGAACCTGTACAATTAACTTTCTCTAAATTTTCCAGAGGTCTTAAAATCAATGAGAAAAATAATAGAAACCGTTAATCGATAATAAAAGGATAGGAAGAGTTGTCTATAAGAAAACACTAAGGTTCTTTCTGGTAATTTTTTGAGCGTTTTGTGGTGGGGGTAGAATAGTTCATCGTATCGTGACGCATGATACATCATTGGAAAGAAGAGGAAATAGCGAATATGTCCGATTGAAACGTGTTATGTATGTTATGGACTATCTAGCAGACAACATAGAAGAGTTACAAGAGATAGTAAATAATATTAATACATTAGGAGGGTATGGTCTCAACATTAACATCGCCAAAACGAAATGAATGATAATCAGCAGACAATCCTATATGCAAGCACAGATCTTGGAGCTACCTACTACCATTGATTAAAAACTACTATATGTGTAGTTTTTTTACTATGCTACTACTGGTCATAAAAGTCATCAGGTGCTGAAATAAGTTCTTCGGCTCGATGTTTTGCTTTAATTACGTTAATCTTCCGTAATAATCGTCAATAGTTCATTTGTGTTATTTGTCAACATTACCAAAATTGTCTAATTTTCGCCGGTTTCGCTTTCTACAATATGCAAAGCATCTTCAGGTCTGTCGATACTGTTGGTATGACAATTTTATATTGTAGATTTTTATGTTAAGTGTTGGCATTACCTGTAAGTGACAAGTGTCAATGGCAAGAAATAGAATTAAGACCTTCATGTAAACAATTTATGTTAGAATAAAACGTTTATTTTTGTCAACGTATTGTTTTAGTATTCCATCTATAAGCAAGACTTTTTCCATCACGCATCCCTAAAGGTTATGGGCCCAGAGTTGTGGAAATCCAAGAAGCGCTTGCATAGTGGTAATCAGAAAACAAAAGTGTTTACGGAAAACGTGGTACGGAACTCAAGGACAAAAATGACGGAAACAAATGTTGTAAACATCAAACCCTTTGATGGAAATAATTTCTCCAACTGGTTATTCAGAGTTAAATTGTTACTGGGACAGGCTGGTGTCTTAGCTGTACTATCTCAAGATGAACCTGCAGATGATGTCTCTCGAGAAGTATTTAAGAAAAACGATGTGAAAGCCCGGAATCTAATTGTGCAATGTTTGCATGACAATATACTGGAAATGATTAAGTCAAATACCTCAGCAAAAGAGATTATAGGTACATTGGAAAATATTTACCAAAAGAAGGGAATTTCGACACAGGTTCAACTGCAGCAGAAACTAAGGTAATTGAAATATACAACAGGGTCTTTAAATATGTTTTTAACAGAATTCAATCAAACTGTATATGAACTTAAAAGTGCAGGAGTTCAAGTACAAGATAGTAAACTTATTTCACAGTTACTCTCTGCAATGCGTGAATCATATCAAGCAGTTACTACAGCAATTGATATTATGTTTTGTCAAGATGAAACTAAAGTTACATTAGACTTTGTTAAAAACAAGCTACTAATGGAAGAGGCAAGGCACAATAAAAATGACCATGAAACAAACCCTGATGTTGCATTTGTAGCAAATAAACAGCCATGGAATAAATGGAAGAATAGAGCTGGAACAAGTAATGGTAATGTGAGAAATAATAAACCATTTCAATTTAAATGTCATAACTGTGAAAAAATGGGACACAAGCGCTATCAGTGCTGGAAAAATAAAAATGGAAATAGGGCATTCCCAGCAGAAAATGATGAAAAGGTAACATTTTTGACAGCAGAGGAGACCACCTTAGTTAGCAACTCAGAATCTGGTGAAATAAATTTCATAATAGACAGTGGTGCTACAAATCACTTAGTTACAAAGGATGTTGAAAGGTTTTTAGATAATATCCAGGAAGTAATGCATAATATAAATGTAGCAAGGAAGGATCAATCATTGGAGGCAATAAAACAAGGTGATTTGAATCTACAAGCAGTAAATGGTAACCAAATTGAGATGAAGAATGTATGGGTATGTAATCAACTTTCATATAATTTAATGGAAGAAGAAAATGGAACAAGCAGGTCTTCAAATTGTGTTCAAAGATAAACAAGTCAACATAATGAAAGGAAATCATGCTGTGATAACAGGTGAGTTAAGAAATAACTTGTAATATATTGTTAAATTAAAATGTAGACATCTACCAGAAGCACAAATTACAACTGTTGAACATAATGTGCTAATGCACATATCTGGTATATGTGAAATCTGTTTAAAAGGAAAACAATCACGATTACCTGATAGCATTGATGCTGAAAGAAAAGCAAAAAGAATTTTAGAAGTTGTATCAACAGATGTGTGTGGCCCTATAGATCCAATAACTCATGATAATAAAACTTATTTTGTTACATTTATAGACCATTATTCACATTTTTGTATATGTTATTTAATTGAGAGAAAATCTGAAGTAATAGATAAATTTAAAGAATATATTGATATGGTTACTGCTAAATTTAATGTAAAAATTGAACGGATAAGGTGTGATAATGGGGGTGAATACTCATCAAAAGCTTTTAAAAGATTATGTTCAAATAATGGAATTAAAATTCAGTATACAGTACCAAGGAATCCAGAACAGAATGGTGTTTCTGAACGTTTTAACAGAACCATTATGGAAAAAGCAAGATGTTTAATTTTTGATTCAAATTTAGATAAAAGCATGTGGGGTGAAGCTGTCAGAGTAGCAGCATACTTAATTAATAGAACAGAAACTCGAACTTTACCTGATAACAAAACACCTGCTGAATGGTATGGTGAAAAGCCAAATATGGAAAAGATAAGATTATTTGGTTGTAATGCTTATAATTTAATTCCTAAAAAGAATAGGAAATCTAAGCTTGATCCTCGTAGTGAAAAGCTGATTATGGTGGGTTACTCAGATAATGGCTACAGACTATGGAATCCGGAAGAAAGAAAAATAATCCATGCACGGAATATAATTTTTGATGAAAATTCAATTGAAAATAATACAATTAGACTATCTGAGAATGAACAAATTGCTCAAATTCAAACTAAGAATGGAGTAGAAAATATTCCTGAAAGAATCACTGAACAAAATGTACATGACGAAGAAGAAGAAGTAGTTGAAATAATTAATGAAAATAGAAGAAGTACACGAAATAAAAAGAGACCGACATATCTTGAAGACTATGATTGTGAGTATAATACAGAGATGAATCCACTAGCAGCTTTATCAGTAGGTACATTTCTTGATGATGTTCCTGAAACCTTCTCTGAAGCAGTCAAGGACATGGAATGGAAACAAGCAATCCAGGATGAACTTCAGTCTTTGGAAGAAAACAAGACATGGACTTTAGTGAAACAACCAGAAAATGTGAGTGTAATAGATTCCAAGTGGGTTTTTCGTGAAAAAGAAGTGAACGGAAAGGTAGTTAAGAAAGCTAGATTGGTAGCTAGAGGCTTCCAACAGAGTAATTTTAGTGAAAATGTGTATGCACCAGTAGCAAGAATGGCTACAATTAGAGTATTACTGTCATTGTATGTAGAATATGATCTTTTTGTAAAACAGTTAGATATTAAGTCTGCTTTCCTTTATGGAATGCTGAAAGAACCAGTGTATATGTATCAACCAGAAGGGCTTGAAGGATATGACAAAAATTTAATTTGTAAGTTAAGTAAATCACTATATGGTCTAAAAGAAGCTCCTAAATGTTGGAATACACTTTTTCATGAAAGCATAACTAATCTTGGTTTTCAACGATCTAGGAAGGATCCCTGTTTGTATTTTAAGGATTTTACATTTTTACTTGTGTATGTTGATGATTTGATAATATTTTCAAAAGTCGAAGACAATATTATTTTTATAAAAACTGAGTTAAAGAAAAAAATTAAATTGAAAGAGTTTGATGATGAAAAATTGGTATTTTTAGGTTTACATATAAGTAAAATTGGAAATGAAGTTTATATTTCACAAAAGAAATTAAATAGGAAAATTTTGCACAGATTTAATAGGAGTGATTGTAAAATTTCAGATATAGCAATGCAACCTAAACTTAATCTGTCAATTTGTAAAGATAAAAATTTGGTAGGAAATGTTAAGTTACCTTATAGAGAATTGATTGGTTGTCTGATGTATGTAATGTTAGGCTCTGGGCCAGATTTAAGTTTTTGGATGTCATATTTTAGTCAATTTCAAAATAATTACACCGAAGAACATTGGAAAAACTTAAAAAATGTTTTGAGATACTTAAAATATACAGAAAATTATGTCTTAAGTTTTGTTAAAGGTAGAAATAAAGAAATAGAGATAGTATCCTATGTTGATGCAGATTTTGCAAACAATCAAATCGACAGAAAAAGTATTAGTGGTTATGTTATAAAGTTTAATAATAATGTTATTTGTTGGAAAACTAAGAAGCAAAATGTAGTGTCACTATCTAGTGCAGAAGCCGAATATATGGCATTATCTTCATGTGTAACAGAAAGTTTGTTCTTTAGTCAGATGTTGGAAGAGATCTTTAAAATCATGTATAGTGTACATGTGTATGAAGATAACCAATCATGTATTAAGATGGCTTCTACATTGGAATCAAAAGAACCAAACATATTGATGTTAAACATCATTTTATTAGAGATTGTTTAGAAAAGGAACTTATTACTTTACAGTATGTACAGTCTGATCAGCAACAAGCTGACATTTTTACAAAATCATTGTCAAAAACTAAATTCACCTATTTTAGGGAACTTTTGAATGTTATTGAGTTGTTAAACATTTTATAAATATATCGCTTGAATAAATATAAATAACTTTTAAAGAATTAAAAAATATAGAACATCACTCTCATTTAACAAACAATCACATTACACATATTTTCTACTTCATTTGATAAAATCTATCTCCTCAAGAAACTTCCTCGTTTATTGTAAAACTATTCAATAGACTATTTTTATACCAATTTGTGGGTCTTACTTTGTCTGCTTAAACAGTTTATTCATTTTGGAAAACCACAGACATGTAATATTTGTATAATTACTGTAATTTATATCATTTATCTTTGTTTATCTTTATAAGACAACACCCTAATATGGGTTTTATTATTTCAGCATTTAATTAACTTTGTATCGACAGACCTGAAGATGTTTTGCATATTGTATAAAGCGAAGCCGTTCGTCTAGATAGTTAAATTAAACTGATTGTGAGTTAGTCTTATTTATTATTTCTTTTACCTATTTGAAATGGACTCACACAAGCAACACATTCATATTTGAGTAATTTTAATCATTTTTCTATATAATCATATTCGAAAGTTTTCAATCTCCAGTCTAAGGGAATGCCAAAGACATGGTGTTTGAGTAAGCATTCATGAAGTGGTGATTTCATATCCACCATATCTTGTTACTATTTTCTCGAAACTTGGCAAAGTCTATCTAGCTTGACAATCTGGATCCCATTTTTTCGAACTTTTTTCTCGAATATCGTCTATCCAACTTTTCGTTAACAATTAGGTACGTTACAATTTACAATTTTCTTTTGTGAAAAGATATGTGGAATATATTTAATATTTTTTTATATCCATAACAGAATAAACATATAATAGTTTAGTATTTTTTTTTTCAACTTGGTGGGTATCAAAACTATTTGCAATAAGTTAATGTGAAAAAAACATTTGTACACACTTTAAACATTCGGTACTTAAGTACTCATCCTTGCGAAACAAAATCTGCAAAATTACACCAGTATACCAGGTACAAAGCGATAGTGCAAACAGATCCTTAATTTAATCTATACATTGGTAATATTTTAATTGTTACCGTTTATGTTGTTCTAGAAAATCTCTGGGTACAAACAAGAATTTCGAATCCATCACCAGACGTTATAAATGCTGCTCTAAATGTGGTAAAATCCAACAACCTAAATACTGATCTATTAATAACCATAGATCAGAAAAATTGTAGCAACGTTCCTGCGTAGAATATTTGAAAAATTTATATTAAAATCTTTAATTTGTGATTTTTTAAATGATTGTATAATTAAACAGATACATAATTAAATTTTTGTTTCTATTATTTTTAAAGATGGACCTTACCTAACCCTTCAGTACCCGTTATCGGTTTACTAGACTGGTGCATTATTATTTCGTTTTGGGTAATAGTGATAATGTAACGAAAAAGTTAATTTTGAAGTACCCCATGGACAGATTCGAACGTAGTTATGAGGAGGTCCGAATCGTTTTATAATACCCCTTTGTCCGCTTCTTGTCGATCGACGATGATAAATATAATAAAAAGTTGAAGTTGTGGAGAAAAATGTTGATTTTATTGACTGTTATGTTAAGGTAACTATCTATAATAGACTGCACTCACATGAGCTCAAATCACCAATTTATAACCTCACAAACAATTCATACCTCAGCACAGAGGTTATTGCTTCTATCATACTAACAAACTTTGAACTATGAGCTTACAATACAAGTTAATCTAGGCCGTAATTGCAACACTTAGGAAGTTCAATTGTAAAATATATTATTCGACAATTTATTAATAGGTGAATGTACTTTAATTATTAAAATATTACTCGATATAGTTTTTACAATGTCTCAATTATACACGGTGAAACTATAAAAGATTAAGAAGTTAAGAATAATGTGAGATTACAAATTAAGGGATTAACTTGTGATTAAACATATTAGCCGCTGTATAAAAGAAGCAGACGACCAATAGAAAATATCTAAACACATATAAAATAATAATTTAAATTTGGTTGTGATACCGTATGTCTTCGAGCCGCTGGATGAGATTGGATGCAAGAACCTTGATGTCTTTGTTTTCTGGCTCTCTTGGAGTTTCGAAAATATCTGACTACCTTACACTACATCTAATTTATCTTCATCGGCGTCATAGCCTGTGACGTCATATGATACCAACACGAAATATTTAGAGTTTAGGTGTGTTCTTTTTAGAATCACTTTACCGAGTACACTGGCATTACAGCCACTAGGCATATTTTATTATATACGCGTAGAAATAATATTTAAAAATTTCTATTAATGTTAACTTAAAGAAATACACAATAATATGTTTCATCTAATTTGTATAAATCCATTATAAAGAGTTTTTATCAAGAACATTTGTTCGGAACACACTGTAACTGTAATCGAACGAAGGTAAAGTTTTGGCATATATTGGTAACACTTATTTGACAGTTGCGGTGTTGACACTTTTTGTACTTTATTATTTTGAATTTTAAAGTGAATACCTCTTGTTTTATATTTTTAGATATTTAATAAAATCTGTTCTTTTTAGAACAAAATTAGTGTGTTTTATTTCAAAAATGTCACGTAAGAATTTAAATAGTCGTTGTAAAGAGATGGTACTTTTGCAATAATTATGTGACCTATTTGATTTAAAATGGAGTCCGGTTTTTTTTATACTTTGGCAACTACAACAACTTGTATGTCAACTTCGATCTCTGACGTAGATAATGACGTAAGTCGTTATCTAAATTAGATGAAGTATACATATAATGACAATCAACATAACAATCAATATATAGTGATTAGTCCCGTGGTTAAATGAGGAATCCACTGATGGTTAGCAATTGTTTTCCACGTGTGTTCGAATATATCTTGCTCAAACTGCTCTGCCTCAAATACAATATTTGGCAACCCATCTCCCCGAATATCTATATTATATCTGGAAATGTTTTTCTGTTTTATGATTGGCATGGGACTGACGGGAGTCTTTAAATAACTTCCAATTGCTGTTTCCAATCCGTTACTGGACGTGAGTAATGTTATGTTTCGAGTTTTGAGCAACGCATTTTGGTGATAGTTTTAGAAAACTCGTTTGATTGATTATATGTTCAGATCGAGAACCATCGCACATTATAGCTAAATTTATAGCGTATGGTGGAATGACTAACCAGAGGTTCGGTGTGCTCATTTTCAACCAACTGGCTTCCTTTATCGTGTATTCTATTATATTGCAAGTGGTATTGGTAGTTCTATCATATAATTCATTTAAGATACAGTTTGGCTGAGTATCCATATTAATGATTCCCATTGGTGAACATCCCAACTCTCCTTTGTTTAATTCTATACACCTTCCTTCATCTTCATATGTCACTTCAAAATAATGTAAGTTATTGTAACCTACTGCAAGTAGATTCCTTGTGACAAACAACGAGCGCACAACACCAACTCTCACCGACAACGGAAGAGCTGTGACTCTCAGTAGGTTGTATCTAGTGTTGTCAATTATTAGGAAATAGCCAATAATGACGATGTCACCTTCATTTTGTACGACCATATCTATTATTGGCTGCCTTCTAATATCCACTCCTTGTGAAAGGAACCTTGTAGCATTCAAAATGATTGACTCTATTTGTCCGGGTTGTATAATATCTATGAAGTGTCCATGATTGCAATAAAGATTTAATATGTTTTCGTATGTGTTCGAATATTCTTTTACATATTCCATTGCACGGTTATAAGTCGTTTCCACTTTAAGTCGTATGTACTCTTTCTCTCATGTGTCAGCTCTATATGATATGAGACATCACATCACATCAAATGTTGTAGAAGATTAGACAACTTTTTCAGCTATATATTGTTTTCTAAAACATTTAATTAAACAACCAGAATTTAAAACTTTTTTTGATAAAGTTAGACCTAGGTTTATTTATGGCGGAGACTACAATTCAAACCATCTAATGTGGAGCTCAAGACTTTATAATACCAAAGGCAGTGAACTACAAAAAGAAATACTAATAGATAACCTAAACATCGTATCCACAAGAGAGCCAAGAGATGTTCTCAATTTTTATTTGTTGTGAAAGGAATAAACGAAAAATACTTTAAATCAAAGTCCAAACTTTTAAAAGTGAATTAGGATATTTTTGGTACCAGTGAAGTTAGAAAAAAGGGATAGTCTTATCACACTCCCATCAGGTCATTTATGGTACTACAAAGGAGAAGAGGAATCGACAGTCGAAGGCGTCCGTTTCTTTATTCACAAAATAATTGCCAACAAAATTACCAACAGAATGCTGATGTAACTCAGATCATGTCCTTACCATACTTTTGATACTGCTCGAAGACATAAAATAAACCAGCATACCTTGACAAAGTAGACCTTTTAGAATTTATATTTTATTGTAAAACTTAACTGAAAACTTATAAAAAATCATTTCTGTTTCGGTACATTTTAAGAAAAATAATTTGATTTTATTAAATCTATCTTTTTATGATGTAATAACAAAAAAACATTGGCATTCCTGCGCGTTTTTATGAGTTTTACACCAATCACTATTTTTAACCATTTTTTAATAATATACCAGAATGTAGATTTATCACAGTATTATTTTTTCTTGTTTAAAGTTCTCTGTTTCTCTGCGTGGATAACCACTTCATCCTCGACATGAAGACCTTTGCGCCTCCTTACATCTTTTCGTAACTTATTGGCCCGCAATGCAGAATCAACGTTAATGGTCTCGTCTTCATCATCTTCATCCTCAACTGGTTCATAGAAAGGATCTCCATCAATAATTTCATAATGGCTGAATCTACAAAAATATCCAAATTAATAAATTTCATTAATATACAAAAAGTGTATACCAGATAATAGAAAATTTAAAAATTTTCCAAATATACTAAGTGACATAGAAATCCGAACACCCAGTTTAAATGATTTTATTTTAATAAAATTTTGTATAAGTACTTAATGAAGCATAATAAGTAAATGATTAAAATTTCAAAATCATTGCATTGCTTTAAAGCCCTTTTACCTTTAATAATGTGTGGATGCACCCCGATGTGTTACGCATTCTCCAACGCGTCTAGGCATGCTTCTGATCAGGTGGTCAATGTACTCTTGTGGTATCTCATTCCAAGCAACCACCAACTCCTCTCGAAGTGATTGTAGAGTCTAATAGCGGCTTCCCACGGTCCGCGATATTACGGACGTAAGCGGACCAGCACGCACCACGCACCGTGGGAAGGGTCTCGTCCGTGGTAGCGCAGGCACGTCTTTGCTGGTCCGTCCTATCCATCTAGAGTCGGTAACATCAAAGGTGCGGTACATGCTCGTGCGACGCGATCCTAGCGCGTCTGTGTTTTAACAGACGACAAGTGCAAGTCAGAAGTTTTTCATTCGCTGACACGAGTAGTTGTCTGTAGTGTTGTCAAAGTTGTTTTGCAGTTTTTTGCTAAAAAATGGAATGGACAAACGAAGTTATTTTTGATTTTTTAAATTTGTATCAAAATGAAACAAATTTATGGAATTCTACGGCACCAGAGCATAAGAAGCGGAACCGATATATATGATGTATGGAACCAAATAAAAAATAAATTGAAGAATAGTACTATTTCGATTAAAGAATTAAAAAAGAAGAGAAATAATTTAATGCCGAATTTAATGTTTACAAGCTGAGCGGCCTTTTTATGATATAATCAAACAATACTGTCACGGACCTAGACAGACTGTCACGGACCGTGGGAAGAGCTCTGTCTGCGGTGCGTTCTCGTCCGTGCTGATCGGCTGTCCGCGATGATCTGTAGAATCGCCGACCGTGGGAAGCCACTGTAAGGAGGACGTTGCAAATTGAGCAATCTCCTACCCATCATATTCCACACGTGCTCAATTGGGGATAAGTCGGGAGATCTTGGTGGCCATGCTAACAATGTGACATCATTATGTTAAAAGAAGTCTATTGTGACTCTTGCAACATGTGGGGTTCTAGAACTTTGGGGGGAATATAACACTCTAAAAAACTGTGGATTCCTCCTTTCACCCAGTCGACTTCTAACCCTCTCTCGACCATCGTGCATGCCTAAACAAAATCGAGACTCGTCACTAAAGACAATACTGTTCTATTCCTGATTCCACAGTGACCGTTCTCTGCACCACTGAAGGCGATTACGGCGGTGTTCTGGAGTTAAAGGAAGGACCCAGTGTGGTCGGTATGAAAAGAGGCTAGAACTTCTCATTAGTCGGTAAATACTTCGCATGCCAATAGGTCTTCCGTGTTCTGCAAACCATTCATTTGCAATGGAGCTGGTAATGAAGAAACGGTCTGTTAAGGCCAATAATCTTAGGCGGCGATCTTCACAGTCTGTTGTTCTACGGCGGCGTCCAGTGCCCCTTGCTCTTTACGTACGGCCTTCTTGAAGCCATGCCTGACAATACCTGAAGACGGTGTCTACACTTCTTTGCACTCTAACTGCAACTTCCCGAAAAGAAAGTCCATCTTCCCGAAGTCCCATTATACGGCCCCTATCAAACACACTAAGTTGACGAAGTCCTACAGGTCTCTGTACTCTAGGCATCGTAACCAATCGTAAACAATGTCAAGAACCACAATCCGCCAAATTTGGATCTTTACTGCGGCTGAAATATTCATTTTTAGATTGTTAGTGAATTTAAAAACAAAATGTATAAAAACCGGAATCTCCAACTAATAAGGCTAAAAACTTTATCACTTGTTTTTTTTCAGTAAGATAAATAAATTACACAAAATTTTATTGAAATAAAATCATTTAAACTGGGTGTTCGGATTTCTATGTCACTTAGTATATTTAATACTATTACAAGAATTAATATTGAACTTAAATTCTTTCGGATTGAACCGTAGTGATTATCACTGCGGACTGCGGATTGACAGCGAATTAGATGAACCACAAATTCTTAAAAAAAATTTTAATATCTATTATAAATAATTAAAAATAATTAATAAATTTTTAAAAACAGATACAATACAAGGATTACACAGGGATTACACTCTTCTCGGCCAGGGGTCGATCAGGGCATTTTTATAAACGATAAATGGTAGGCTTCGGATCGACAAAGGGTGTTATATTTGTATATTCGTTGTTCTGACGAAAGACAGTAAACAATCGTAAATGTCTGTTCTGTCTAAAGCATAAATATGCAGTATATTATATGGGCTTTCAATGTTTAATTTTAAAAGTTTTCTGAAAAGCTCATTAGATTGAGCTCTATATTTTAAACAGTCAAAAAATATGTGGACCAGGTCACCGATTTTATTACAGGCTTCACAAAGATAACTCTCAAGTATTTTTATTTTAAACAAATGTGCTAGATAACATGCGTGATCAAACTTCATTCTGCTGTAGTAGTTATACTTTTTCGATTGTTTCGCTATGATTATTTGTTCATCTGTGGTTAATTTAAAATTTTATCTAATTTTAAATTAATTTAATCTAATTTTAAAATTTTATATATTTATTTTGATCTTGTAAATGTTTAAGTATTGCTTGGATGCTAAAAATAATATCATTTTGGCAAACCTAAATTTGCAATTTGGTATTGTACTGGGCACCAATAATATCCTCTGAGCCCTACTTGCCTGTTTATATATAATTTGCATATCATGTTAGCAACTTCTTGAGGGATTTGTAATTGCATCATTTTCCTGTACGATGAACCAGTTAAATTGTCGTAGGCACCTTTAACATCTAGAAACATTGTTCCATTATACTCGTTTTCAGTTAAGCCTATTTGTATGTCTATAACTAATTGTGTCATCGCATCTATGGTGCCAAAACCTTTTTTAAAATCATATTGTGTATAAGTGCATAAGTGCAATAAGTCTATATGAGTCACATAGGTGGGGGTCATTGTTTGGTTTGTGTATTGGTATTACAATAGCCTTTTTCTATTCTTCTGTACTTTCCCCATAGATCCAGATATCATTTAGAATTTTGATTAGAAACATCTTGGCATTGTTTGGTAATTGAAATATCATAGGATATCTAATATCCTCATATCCAGGTGATGTATTCTTTCTGTTTTTTATTATATACTTTAATTCTGGTAAGCTAGTTGGTTGACTAAAAATCTTATGGTTGCTGTTATTTTGTCTTTGTTTTGAGAAAATATGTGAGGTATCATCCAAAGCTTTAGATGGTGTAATTTTATATAAAAATTGTTTGTATCATTCATAATTCCCTGATGTAGGTATTACCTTTCAGATATATCCTATTCATTTTTCTGGTCTGATTGCATATGTTTGTCAATGGTGTATTTCAATTTAGTTTATTAATTTAGCTTTAAATTTTAAAAACTTTTTTGTTTCGGAAATTTCATTTTTACATTTCACATAATTTTCCATAGTGCTTTATTGCTTATTAGTGTTGAGTATTTGTTTTCCTTTTTTAATAGCCTCTTCGCAGATTTGATCCCACCATGGTGGAAGAAGAGTATTTTGTACAGTTTAAAGGGTTGGTAAATTGGTATAGAGGCATTGGCTGCCTTATTTATCCCTGCAATTAATAAGCTATAATTATGTTCCACGTTATTGCTATTTTTAAAGTGTTGTGAGAAATATGTATTCGCAACTTCTTGATATAGACTCCAAACTGCTTTATTTAAGTTCCATTTTGTTTTTGGATGTATTATGATGTCTTTACTTTCCATGCCTTTGTTAATATCTATATTAATGCCTTCTTAATGCCTCTATACTAATTTCTTTGTTAATGCCTAACGGGACGATATTAGGAATAACCTTTTATTCTGACAACCCATCTACAGTTTACCCTTGAAAAAGACTAGATTTTGCACTGTTTACATAGAGAAAAGTTGTTTAAATAAAAATAGACGATTGTATCTCTTTTCAATTTGAACTACACTGTTGTTCTACATATGTGTCGAGTTATTCAACTCTCATCAGGAACACTTGTGGTAGTTCAAACTGAAATGAAACGAAATATATTTTGCCGTTATAGTAACATAACATGCCAGAGTACACTAGCAGTGACCTCTATAGGTAACAAGAAGTCAGAAGACTTCTCTTCAATAGGTGAATGTTAGGAATACCCTTTTATTTCGATAATGCATCTAAAATTTACCCTTGAAAAACACTATCCTTTGGACTCTTTATGTAGAGAAAAAACTAATGTCTTTTCTCTATATAAAGAGTGCAAAAAGTACAAGCCTAGATGAAGGAAGAAGTTTAGATGTGGGCTAACAACTATATTCCTTAAAAAAGTAATTGTTACGAAATTTAATATCAGATAAACTGGATGAAACTTTCAATGATAATTAAAACAAAGATTAGCTATTTGCATAACAATTAAACACTTTAAATGTTAAACTTTTGTATGATATGCAAGTAAATGTTATGTGGTTGGCATTAACCTAGAATTTTCTAATGCTAACTTTAGATATTTAATATAGTTGTTATGTATGTATTATAATTTATTAATTATTTGATTAAATTCTATAACGTCAAAAAAAATAAAATCATACCTTAAATTGGGATTTGCCTGTCCAGACGTAGTTTTTCTGACTTCACCTGCAAAACCTTGACTTTCAATAACTGCAATTTGTGCTTTAACAAGAAAGATTTTTTCTTGATCATCCATACAAACATCATCAAGTATTTTACCATTTCTCTTACTAACCACAGTATACACTTTTCCCAAAATGCTAGTGTTTACTTGAATTTCTGTCACATACATTGGTTCCATCAATCTTTGTTCTTGTTTCTCAAAAGCCCTTTTAAAAGTATCTCTAATAGTGGATTCAATAGCAGATGTAGTTTGTGGGGTTATATCTTCAGAATTGATCTCATTACACAGTTCAAATTTGGTAATAATAAAAGCACAGTTTGCTAATGGTTCTTCACACAAGGGACCAGCTTTACAAAGAGTATTAAATGCTTTAATGATGCAGTGATCAAACAGAGCTCTCTTGTCAGTACTATTAAGTTCCAAAAATATATTATGCTTATAATTTGTAGTGTTGTTTACTAAAAGATTCACAAAATTACTTGTTACACCAACACTCCAAATCTTGTTATGTAAATTTTGCCAGCATGATGCACCTAAAGATTCAACTGATTCCAACTGTTCTTTTGCATGTAATATAGCCTTTTTTGTGGTTTCCCTCTTAAATGATTTCTCTAGCGGTTCAGTGTTAACATTACTATTATTTCCAAAAGACTGTTTAGCTATATCAATTAAACTCTTATATTGGTGATCTTCAACCATTTTAAAAAGATCATGATTGTTTTTGATTACTTCGAGTATATTTGCAGGAATTGATACTGCAACCACCTCTAAATTCAAATATTTTGTCTCTACACTTACATTATTTGCCATTAATTTGGAGAAATGAGCATCATTTTGAGCAGGAACAAGAGTTTCTCTCAAAGCAACCATAGGACTAGAAACATGAATATCAATAGCAGCAAACTTATTTTTTAGATCTTCAATACATTTTCCTAAATGTACATCACCAGCAGTGAGTAGTACTAATTCTCCTGTTTCTTGAATTATCACTTGAACACAAGAATCACTTTGAATAAGAAATTTTAAACCTTGGCGAAGAATTGGCAAGTCCTTTGGGTTTGTAGGTTCAATAGCATGCCTCATAACAGGTTCTATTTTAAGACTTTCCACAAGAGGAACAACATTTAAATCTGATGATAATGTAGCAGTTCTTAAAACACACGATTCTAGACCTCCAATGCCACAGAAGTTTCCAGCAGGAACACACTCCACCAGAGTTAATTCTCTACCAAATAGCATATATAATTCTTTAATTACAACTTTATTAACATGTGGATTATTTTGAATAAAATTTTCAGAATCCTCTTTAATTTTAATTTCATCAGGTAAGTATGACCCTGTCATGGCAAATATCTCTTGACCAACACGAAGTGTTCCACTAAAAACTCTAGCCAAAGCTATAACAGATATTTCATCACTAATACTGTCAGAGGTTTCATTAATAAGTTCATTTTCCTGAGAACTAACTTTAGAAGCGGATTCTATATTTTCAACTTTGGGAGTAACCTCTAAATTTCTTGGCTTAATAATAAATGGTTTAGGTTTATTTTGTGAAAGATTTTTCTTATTTATACAAAACATCTTGGAAACATATGATATAGATGTGATGTCATCTTTACTTGAAATATTCTCTAAGTGAGGTTTTACACTCTCAACACATTTATTAAAATATGGATCTTCACAAAATTTATTAACATTAAGTAGGTATTCAATTTTTGCTTGCTCAATTTTACTAGGGGAAGGCATTTGTTCTAAACATTGCAAGAGTATTGTAGAAGCTAATGGTTTCCATGCTTGTAATATTGCTCTAACTTGAATTTTAGGGTCATTATGAGTCATATCTCTAGTAATGTTTTTTATTTTTAATTTTTCTAATATTGTTTGAGTTTTGTCCTTCTCCATCCTCAGTATAAATGTTTCATATATGTGAACAATAGTTTTAAGACAAAATTGAACAAACAATGGGCATTTCTTCTTTTCAATAGCACCTGTCTTTATTTCTTTTGATGCATTGATATAACAATCAAAATTCCACATTTTTTTGTTTAAGGAGTCAACAGTTTCATTTTTCACTAAATTAACAAAGAGGTTTGACATTTGTTTTGTAGTAAAACCCCATCCATCAATAGCACTTGAAAAGATAACATTTCCTGTATCAGGACTAAACAACAGCCCAGTATCTTCAATATCAATATCATTATGAGTAAAATCATACTGGTAAAGTTCTGCTATTATAGCATTACATCCTTCTATAACCCTAAGTATGCACTGAAATATTTCATCCAAATTCTTTTTAAGTTCTACTACCAGCCTATCAAATTTATTTAATATTAAAATCATTTTTGTGTGTTCTTCATATGCTTTCTTAATGGATTCTCTTGTTTGTACACACACCCCTTCAACAAGATCTACTAAAATTATAGCACCATCACATACTCGTAAAGCTGCTCCTACTTCTGTGGAAAAATCTATATGACCAGGAGTATCAATTAAGTTTAGTAATACCTTTTTGTTTTTGTCTTCAATTTCATCGAATACTACATTTAAAAGTGAAACAGCACTACTTTTCATTGTAATTCCTCGTTCTTGTTCATCTGGTCTATCATCTAAATAACGAAGAGAGCCTGCCAAACGTTTGCTGACCAAACGATTTGTTGCTAAAAGTGAATCAGCTACTGTAGTCTTTCCATGATCCACATGTGCTAAAATACAAACGTTTCTAATACAAGCTGGGTCATTCATGCAAAACTGAATTTCCTCCACAGTGGGCTTTATACAATCCATTTCAAAAAATATACTATTATCATATAAATTAAATGTAAAATATTATTTCAAAATTCAAATTGAAACTAGGTTATATATTACTGTCACTTTTATTTTCTTCTGTGTTAAAAGTCAAAATTTGGCCTTGTACATTGTACAATACACAACTTCACTACCTTCTACATTTACTTCAATTTTGTTTTCAATATTGATTTTGATTTTGTCATAATTACCCTTAGAATGATTCTAAGCAATTATTATTCCTTTTTTAATATCATATTTATTAGCAATCCGAACATAGTATTAAGCTATTTTTATATTATGCAATCTTAATGCTGTGCAAGACAGACACAGATCAGAATGCCAACTCTCAGATGCCGCCTTTGAAGTTTTTCAGCACGCGCGCCATGTTTTAGAAGGAAACACATAACAAAGACATATGATTTGTGAAGTTATGTAATTGTGTATATTTATGTTTAATTATATTATATTTTGCTATTACATTTAACAATGTTAATATAAATGTATAGTATGTCTATGACTGCCGTAAGTAAATTAAACCGGGTTAATTTTTCTATGCATGTTGTATATTTAAGAATTAAGTTTTATGTTTAGAGTAGAATCTAAGTTGTATTTTAGACATTACTGTTTGTGTTAGTCTGTATGCAGCTTAAGATCATGAACTTTAGTGTGTAGACAGCTTAAGCTGACAGAGAACAATGATGGCCGCTAGTTAGAGCACGTAATGTAAGTTATATGTTTAAAAAAAAAAGAAAATAAAGTTCTCCAGAATAGTTATTTTTATAATATCCACCACCAACGAAATAAAACATGGTATCAAGTGTGTTTTAACGTGCTTGTAAGTGGCGATTCGTAGCAGAAAGTGTGTGAATACCAGAAATACGAAGGGGCGTTTATCCACTCTAGTTTTTGGAAAACCTCTAGGAAATTGATAAAATGGAGTGCAGGGCACCAGAAACATTTGATGTAAGCGATCCAACCAAATGGCCGCGATGGAAACAAAGGTTTGAAATATATCTCCTAGCAGCAGGAAAGGATTCAGCACAGAATAAGGACTCCAAAGATAATGCTAATTGCTGTGACAATCCTGTTGGTAATAATGAGGAACAGCCGTCCATCTCAGGTAACATACATCAAGTAACTGAGAGTAACATAGAGCTGGTGTTTGAGAGTGACTCAGAACCTGATAAAAATAGTGAAATAAACGAATACCCTTCCGACAGACGTAAAACTAAAAAACCAAATTATCTTAGGACTTCTTCTTGTATTAATGTTTTTGTTAAAAAAAAAAAGCGTGTTGTATATTTAAGAATTAAGTTTTATGTTTAGAGTAGAATCTAAGTTGTATTTTAGACATTACTGTTTGTGTTAGTCTGTATGCAGCTTAAGATCATGAACTTTAGTGTGTAGATAGCTTAAGCTGACAGAGAACAATGAAGGCCGCTAGTTAGAGCCCGTAATGTAAGTTATATGTTTAAAAAAAAAAGAAAATAAAGTTCTCCAGAATAGTTATTTTTATAATATCCACCACCAACGAAATAAAACAATGCACACCACATAAACAACACTGGTTCCCTTTAAAACATGACGGAACGTCTGCGCGAACGAGATGCGGGTACTTTATTTTCCATGGAGAGTGGGCATTCTGATTGTTTATTATTCTGTAGGTGAAAGGTTGAGTTTACCCAAGGTTAGTAAAAGGTATATTTCTAATAACCTTGGAGTTTACCCATGGTACAATGAATACATTGTACCATGGGTAGCCGCAAATGTCAAACATGGAACAAAAAATTTCAGTATAGCAGTGTTGACATATTTTTATAACGTAGATGATGTATGCTTCAGATATATACTTCATCTAATTTACGTACCAATGCACGGTATTATCTACATCACAGATCACCTACCTACCACCTTATTAGTGGTCTGTGATCTACATCAGAGATCGAAGTTGACATAGTTGTCAAAGTATAAAAAAACACACCTAAATAAAATAGGAGTAATCTTCCCGTTCACGCATCATGTAGTTTTTATCAGTTCAAGCTCACACATCGCCATCGAATAGTTAAAAACTCTCAATTTACGTATTAAATACTTTTCTGCGCCGAAATCGGGCAAGTTCTCATAAATAGTACATTTGATATTGTATAGTAAGTTACGGCCGTGTTGGGCCTCTCTACTCTTAAAAGATTTAATTATAAATCGATAAACTCAAAGGTGATTTTATTTCTCTGGAGCTATATTTGCTCATATTAAGAATCCTTATCCTTCAACGGTCACTGAAGAACCTAACCTATGGAGATGCATCCATTCACAAGTCCTTTGAAGTAAGGCTTGGAATCCAAAGATGTCCAACCCTCTTATGTAGGTAGCCAGTTACAAGGCTCCCTCAACCGCTACTGTCAAATAAGTGTTACCGTTGATTGAATAATCCAAATTTGGATTATTCAATCAACGGTGTTACCAATTTATGCCAAAATTTCACCTTCGTCGATTACAGTTACAGTGTGTTCCGAACAAATGTTCTTCATAAAAACGCTTTATAATGCATTTATAGAAATTAAATGAAACATATTATTGTGTATTTTTTCAAGTTAACATTAATAGAAATTTTTAAATATTATTTCTACGCGTATATAATAAAATATGTCTAGTGGCTGTAATGCCAGTGTACTCGGCAAAGTGATTCTAAAAAAAGATCACACCTAAAGAACATCCCAGACTGAGATGTAGTGCATAAAAGTCCTTCCCCCTTTTTAAATTTAATGTTTCGTCCCTTCTAAGTGTTTTCTGTTTTAGTGTGTTCAAATTGTCCTTAATTGTTTTAATTTTCATATTTTATATACTCGACTTTGCAATAATCTACCATTTTGCCAATAGAACTTTATCAAAGAAATTTGATAATTACAAGTTGAAAGAATTGCACACCCACACAATTTGTATATCTAAGCTTATTCATTGTCATAAAAGTGTCACCTTCATAAAACAAATACTCAATAAATAAAACACATTTCATAAATATATATCTCGAATAAGTATAAATAACTTTTAAATAATACAATGGTATATAACATCACTTTCATTTAACAAACAATCACACACCTATCTCTACTTCATTGGATCAAATCTATCTCCTCAAGAACTTCCCGTTTACTGTCAAACAACTAGAATAACAGACTTAAGTTCTCCATTCAACAATACATGATAGTTTCAACAATGTTCTACCATCCATCAATTAATAGAGTACCGGCATGTAAGTAATGTTTATTTATTTGCTCATTTATTAATTTATTACAATCTAATAGACTATTTTATAACAATTTGTGGGTCTTACCTTGTCTGTTTAAACTTTTTTAGAACTTTTTATACCTTTTTATTCATTTTGAAAAAAACCACAGACATGTAATATTGCCATAATTATTGTAATTTATAACATCTAATTTGTTTATCTTTATTAGACAACACCCTAATATGGGTTTTTATCATTTCAGCATTTATTTAACTTTATATCGAGACCTGAAGATGCTCTACATATTGTAGAAAGCGAAACCGGTCGTCTGAATAGTTAAATTAAATTGATTGTAAATCTTATTTATTATTTCTTTACCTATTTGAAATGGACTCACACAAGCAACACGTTCATGATTTGAAATTGTTATATTTGAATGCCACAAAGTACAAAACTAAATAATTAACTTCGCGAACTGACAAACATTGTCAATGAAAACATACATTATACTTCTGTTGGCAATTCAAAGCCAACTAGTGCAAAAAATATTAATTTAACTTTCATGGCGAAAAAACAAAAAAATTTGAAAACGGTGTATCTTACCTACTAAAAGTAGGGGTACCTTTAAAGACTAGAATATCTGAAAAATTAATAATCCAGTATCCCGAATGCTTAAAAGTTAAATATAAACAAGTTATGCGTTAAAATAACCGTTGGCCTACCCAAAACGGACGTTTATGACCAGTACTAAAAATTTGCAATTAATGGAATCGATTCAACTCTGAAGGATAAGTAATCGTACTAGTTTTAGCCTTTTCAAAACAGAAGCGTTCTAGAGATATTTAAAAAAAGTGTTCTAGCTCCCTTAGGAAGCATTTTCGAACTAGGTGAATTGGGTTAAATTGTCTTAAAAGTTATTTGAGAAATCTCTGGTCTTCGTTTGTCTGGAGAGTTTCTGGACTGTATAATTAAAATTCGAAACCTATTATTTATTTTCCACTAAATCAATTTACAATAGTTTATACATCTATAATTATGTGACATAATATTACATAGGTATTACAAAATAGCTTTCGGAGTATGGCCTATCTGACTCCACTTCGGAGATTGAAAGTTCTGAACTCCACTTGTCACAAACACTCATTGTATTATATAATACTACACCAACCTCCAAATCTCTTCTTTAGGTGCCGTCTCAAATGTAGGTTGGCGATGACTTAATTAGATCAAATTTCGGGTCATGAAAAACTGCCTCATTTTTAAAAATGGGTTTCTGGCTAGTTTTATTCTACATTTGACTTTTTGTTCTGAAATAAGGTTTCATTTATACAGCAGCATAGATCAATCAAACCACAAGAGACGAACAAAGAGGAGATCAACAAAAAAATAAACAGCATTGCAATCTCAAGAAAACATAAGTGTGGATGATATGTGGAATAAAATCAAAAATATCTGTAATTCAATGGTAGATAATAAACTTAAACCAGAAAACAATATAAAGACACAGCCGTGGGTAAAACAAGAAATATTAGAGCTAATGGAAGAACGAAGAAAACGCAGAAATAAGAATGAGGAAAGGTACATAGAAATAAACAGAATCATTAAGAAAAAGATTAAAGAAGCAAAAGAATCATGGCTACAAGACCAATGCATAGAAATAGAATCCCTAGAACAAAAGCATGATATTTTTGACCTACACAAAAAGATCAAAAAATTAACGAAAGGAAACGGATCACGAAGACATAACTTAATACTAGACGAGCACAACAATCTGCTCTACGAAAATGAGAGAATACTTGAGAGATGGAGGCAATACATGGAAGAATTATTCAAAGAAAAGCAAGAGACACAAGTCAGTGTTTCTGGATGTT